GGGAGGGAGTATTCTGAAAGGACCAGGCACTGTGACATTCTTTCCTTCAGGGGAGATGACTCACCCTGAGGCTGTACAAAGGGCAACCCAGATGGTCTCACTAGCAGGCCATAGCAGGATCCATGCCTGTGCCTTTGGTATCCTCTAAAATTCAGCCATGAATTTCATTTAGCACATGAAAGCTCAGGCCCAAGGATTTTAGGTCTTGGAGATAAATGTCCTTCTCCTTAGAAGAGTAGGAGAATCAGTCAGAAGAGGGTCTTCTCCAGTGGATTGATGAGTACTTTAACAATTAAGTGCTGGTAGGGAAAAAAAATCATGTAACTCTGTTCAATGGCCTTATTACGAATTCATGGTTCCCGTAACAGTTGGGCTGTCTCCTTCCTGGCCCCTAGCTATCTACCAGGGAGCTATTCTAAACTTTTCAGGTACTCCTTCACTTAATACGTAACTTTCAGCCCAGCATGCCCTGCAGATGACCTCCCCTCCTTGCTTACAGAGAAAAGGGCAGCCACTCACTGGAAACTCCTGCCGATCTCTTTCTACCTACCAATAGCTGGGCACCACCTCTCTTCTTGGTATCAGAAGTCCATCCTTTTCATCTCTTCTTGAACTTACTTTGGCAATACTTCCTGTTTTTCTCTTCATTGCTTTTACTCCTCTGCCAAAAAACACCTCAAGTGTTTCCCATTCTTAAGAATATTAAGTCCTCCCATGGCCCAGCCTGCTGTTCAATTACTGCCGTAACTTCAGAGATGTCTTTTAATCTTGATATCATCAGCACTTAGAACAAGCCTATAACAGAGTAAGCATGCAATAAATGTCTGATGAGTGAATAAACTTGAGTGAATGGTGGATCGATGACTGCCTGTTATGCAGGAATGAACTAGGGAGTATAAATGGCTGCAGTGCAGCAACTGGGCTCCCTTGTTCTGAGCCCCCCAAATTTTCCATGTGCTTTTACTTATGGGTATTATAGGAAATGGTATAGAAAGAGAGATACAGTTTAATTCTGAAGTGTACTAGCAACAGACAGATAGCACAAGGGCATCCTCAGCACGAAGTGATTCCTGGATACTTCAGAGTTTGAATTACCAGATGACAAAAGGAAAGAGTCTTAGAATGAGCCAGCCCCACATGAGGGCAGTTCTGTCAAACATACCAAACACAAAATATTTCTGTCTTGGTTGTATCAGCTGTATCAGCTATGAATGCAACATGCTGAATAGTGCAAGTCAAAGATGTACCTTCTTGGTTTCTAAACTGAGGCTATGATTCGTCACCTTCATGGGACTCTCTCTTCTCAGATTTTGTTCTAACAGATAGCCCCTGTAGCTCCTGCAGTTTTGGTTTTCCTCTTACTCCTGGGCATAGTGGTTAGATTCAGAATCAAAACTGAAATCCTGGCTCTGTCATTTACTAGCCCTGTGATGTTTGAGCAAATAATCAACTCTTTAAGCATCAGGGGTGTCATCTGAAAAAATGGAGGGAAGAAATAGCTTTACTTTGGGATTGTTTTAAGGATTAAGCGTTATCATGGGCATAAAGCACTCAGCACGATGCCTGGCATATAATAAGCACTGTAGATATGTCAGCCATTGCCATCACCTTCTCACTACCTTTCAACATGCTCAACTTCGCTTATTCCTTTAAAAGAAATTCTCTCTACTCTGCAGGGCTTAGAGGCTTATCTCTGTTTTAAATATCAAATATCTAATAAAACAGGCAACCCCATGTACTCTGGCTCTACGCCATGCACCCAGTGACCCTTTCATCCCTGCAGTGGGACACCACTATACCATTTTACTGGAACCCTGAGAGTCACCTAGACCTCCCCTTCTTGACTCTTCTACACCACTTGGCCATCCTGGTCCCAGGCTACCTTCTTTGATATCTGATGGATGTTTATCTTTTCATTCGCTGAAGGATGTGAACATATCTTTTTATCTCTTCTCTTTTGCCTCATTTCTATGTACAATAAGGTAGGTCACTGATGAGAATCTATAGTATATATGAATATCATAGATGCAGAAAACATTAGAAATACTTCTCTTCAATCTCATTTTAAGAGCTTGATATTCTCTCAGAGAGATGTACCATTATTTATTTAACCAATTTCAAATGGTTATTTAGGTGGTTTTTACCTTTTTACTATGATGAAAAATCTTTGTGCATCCATTATTATTTCCTCAGGATAAAGTCCTAATAGTAAAATTGTTAAATCAAAGAGTATATTCAATTTTAAGTTCTTTAATATGTATTGCTGTACTGCCCTCCAGAAAGGTTGTACTAATTTATTCTATTTTAGTTCTTTACAAAGAACTCCTGAGATATTTACCTGATTTCTCTCAGGATAATTGGTAGACCTTGGAGTTGGTTTATAATGCCCTCTATTTTACCACCAACTATAAATACTTAAACAGTTGAATCAAGGACAGGACATTTTTATTTGCTTAAACACATTAATACATCACCTTGGTGTCACTTTAATAAGACAGTTCTTGTTATTTTCCTCTGGCTTGGCAATTCACAAAGAACCAGTGGAATATTTAAAAAATTGATCAAACCAGTTTCTTGGTTTGCCAGGTAGCTAAAGTAAATTAGCATATGTGTTATATTTGTCAAACAGGCACATACCAAGAAAAGACTGCTTACTCAAGAAAAAGATTACTTAAGTCTCCTTAATATGAAATCATCATCTTTACTTCACCGTAGAATTTACACTTAGATAAGTAACAGTGTTCTTGACATTTAAAAATTAGGGTAGCGCTTTCTTCCATGTTAAAAATGAAAGATAATTAATATTGCATATTGGCTGACATAGCCATTGCTCAATAAATATTTGCTGAATAAATGAACATCTGAGGCTACACAATTTTAAAGTAAAAAATTATCTATGTGCCTTACTATATAAGAATCTAAACTGATAGTCTATGGTCTCTATTTGGCAGTACAAAATGTTTAAACTAGGCTCACTGACTTGTAAAAAAAAAAGGCTTATCATAAATTAAACTGTGTTGTAAATGCCCATATCTCAAGGAGAGCAATTCATCTGCATTGCAACCAAATTTTATTTTTTAACCTACTAGAATTCTAGTAAAGCCAAAGTGAATGTAATCACTGAGGACCTATGTACATCATGAAAAGATGCATGTGATTCTATTACAGCTGGTGGAGAATGGAACTAGAGTTTCAAGGTGAAAAAGGACAAAAGCACCTACCACACTGCAGAAACCAGTATCTTATTCATACCTCTTTTGAGAGGTTAATAAAGCTGTCAGGGAAATAAAGAATAAAGCAATCAAAATTACAAAGGACAGACTGGCATACTTAAGAAAGCTTTCTGTCCCTATGCACCCTGGATTACACATTACACATCTCATGTGCCTTAGAAAAGTCATTGTTGTAAAGGACTACTTGTGAATCACACAGTAATAATACTGATTGTAAACACAAACATCTACCATTTTCTTTCTATTACCCAACTTTCTCAGTGTAAAAAGCAGGGACTGCAATGTCTAAGTCGTACAATTAATGAATATATTATGATGATAAAGTAGAAATCAGTTGGGATTAATGAAATATATGAATAGATTGATTTCAAATATCTTACAGCTTTGTTAAGCAAAGTATTGATGGTGCTGTCACTATTTTCAACTTGCCAATCTTTTTTTAACGTACAAAGTCGCAAGAGAAATAAGTCATAGGTACTTAATTTGTGAAAAAATTAGTCTAATGACTCTAAGTGCTATGTATTAGTTATCTGTCATGTTCTCCAGAAGATTTGGTAAGCAGAATACATTATTTAATTGGAACTTAATTTAAATTCACCTGTTCGCAATAAAACATTTAATGTTAGTGGACTGATCTGATAAAGTGAGTAATGTCTGTTCATTAGGGAGCAAAAAGCAGATGAGCATTTTAAATGATAAACATAAAATGGAGTGAATATTTAGCTGAAGTTCACTTCCAAATATGTCTTTTAAATTAATATCACAAAAGAAAGAAATGCTTATGCTGGGTAACACAGAAAACAAATTCAGAGAAGAAAAAAATAACACCCATAATTTACTGACAAGGTAACTATTGTATTAATTAAGAGTTCTATAAAGTTTTTTAGTAAAGTGTGTTCCAAACTTATCTGCTTATAGGAACAACTTTGGAGAGCTTATTTAAAATGTAGATTCTTGAGCCCCTCTTCTGGAGATACTGACTCAGCATGTATGGGATCGGCCTGGACAATCTATTTTTAACAAGTGACTCTTCTCGTAGGACAAGTTTAGGAAATCCATTTTCTAGGACACACCTTTTCTGTGCATATATGCCCGCACAGGTGCACACAAGCAGCTATTCCTTTGTGTTTATCCCCATCAAGCCTATTTTATGAGAGAATTTGGTATAGCTGATTTTGCCAGTCCTGTAGCCCTTTACAGATGATCTTTTAAAAAGGTGACACATTTGCCCTGCTGTTATCAAGCAAAAGACAGCCTCTTCATTCAAACCTATGGCCAGATCTCAGAAGGAACAATCAGAAAAAAGACTTTTCTCTTCTCCATGTCTTTTTGAATGTGTTGTTAATGCCCTCAGTAGGATAAAATATAATAATCAGGTCTTACTTTTCAGAATTTCACGGTCCTCACTGTTTTTAAGGTTTCAGCCCAAATATATTTCCCATGTTTGAAGTAAGAAGCAAGAACTGGATTCATTGCTCTTAGTGATGATACTCAAAAATAAAACCAAATGTGCTTATACCAGCAACACATTTCATAGCTGTAATTTGAAACTGCTGATTCTAATTTAATTTCTTTTTACCTACGATCTTAATATAAACAAGTAGGCTGTAAAGCAAAGGAAAAGATAAAAATATAAAGACCTCCCTGCTTTAGTCTAAAATATTTAGGAACTAAAGATAGATTTGACTTCACTCCCTGAAACAAAACACCAAACACCTGCCAAAAGTTAGCTGGGAAGTAAAACCGCCCAACACTGGCTGCCACATCTCTTATTGAACCTACCCTAACACGAGCCTCAAGTTTCCAATTCATGAACTACCTGTTGCAAATGTCATTCCCAGGAAAACCTTCCATGCTGTTCTGATTCCTCATGGACCACCCCCACCTCCAACCTGGTGCTTTCTCTTTATTTCTTCAATTTGAAGAAGGTAAGCCAATTTTTAGTCTATGCAAGCATGCCTTCCTCTTTATGAGAATCCATGAGACAAATTTTTCTCAGGAGGATCCTGAGAAGGCCACTGTGTTGCTTTGGAATAACCAGTTTTGTTTTTATTGTGTTGAAACTTTAAATTATGTTATTAATAAAACCCTCTTATTTTCTTTGGCAACTAGGAAGTTGAGAGGCAAATTTGCAGCTGATCTCTAACTTCTGAACAAGACTTATGGTTGATAATAAATCATTTTATTACTCTGATGCATGGCTTCATTTTATTTTTCTGGCTTTTATATTTCCTTTACCCTGATTTAGTCTTTAGTTACTTTCATTCTTGATATATTTCCATAGGTGACCTTAAATACTTTTTTCACTTTCCTCCTAACATTTATATTTAATTGATAAATAAGAAATATATATCACATACAACATGTTGTTTTAAAATAGAAATATATAATGGAAGCCAAAAACAAGCTGATTAACATATGCATTTACAGGTCATAAACTTTTGTGGTGAAAACACTTAAAATCTACTTCTTAGCAATTTTCAAGAATCTATTATTAACTATAGTCAGCTGTATAATAGTTCTCTTAATCTTATCCTTCCTATCTAATTAAAATTTTGTATCCTTTGACCAATATCTACCCAACATCCGTGCACCTCCAGCTCCTGGTAATCACTATTCTCCTATCTACTTCTATAAATTCAACTTTTTTTTTTTTACACTCAATATGTAAGCATCCAATACTATTTAATAAATCATAAATTCATTCACGCATTGCTTAACAACAGAGATATGTTCTGAGAATACAATTTCATCTCTGTGTGAACACCACAGAGTTTACATATAGACATACACAAACCTAGAAGGTGTAGCCTACCACACACCTAGGGTATATGGAATAGCCTGCCGCTCTTAGGCTACAAACCTGTACAGCATGCAACTGTGCTGAATACTGTAGGCAGCTGTAACACCATAGTATTTGTGTATCTAAATCTAGAAATGGTACAGTAAAAATACTGTATAAAACATTTTAAATACGGTATACCAGTTTGGGGCATTTATCATGAATGGAGATTGCAGGCCTGGAAGTTGCTGTGGGTGAGTAAGCGAGTGAGTGGTAACTGAACGTGAAAAGCTAAGACATTATGTGCACTACTGTAGACTTTATAACACTGCTCACTTAGCTAAAAACACAAGCACACTCTATAGCTGTACAAAAATTCTTCTTTTTGAGATGGAGTTTCGCGCTTGTTACCCAGGCTGGAGTGCAATGGCGCGATCTTCGCTCACCGCAACCTCCGCCTCCTGGGTTCAGGCAATTCTCCTGCCTCAGCCTCCCGAGTAGCTGGGATTACAGGCACGTGCCACCATGCCCAGCTAATTTTTTGTATTTTTAGTAGAGATGGGGTTTCACCATGTTGACCAGAATGGTCTTGATCTCTTGACCTCGTGATCCACCCGCCGCGGACTCCCAAAGTGCTGGGATTACAGGCTTGGCCCACTGTGCCTGGCCAAATTCTTTCTTTATAAGCTTATTCTATCTTAAGTATTTTTCTCTCTTTAATTTTTTTTTTTAACTTTTTAAACCTTTTTGTTGAAAACTAAGACACAAATATACATATTAGCCTAGGCCTCCACAGGGTCAGGATCATCAGTATCACTGTCTTCCACCTCCACATCTTGTTTCACTGGAAGGCCTTCGGGGCAATAACAGAAATGTTATCATCTCCTGTGATAACAGTGCCTTCTTCTGGAATACCTCCTGAAATAACTGCCTGAGGCTATTTTACAGTTAACTTTCTTTTTTGTAAGTAGAAGGAGTATACTCTAAAATAATGATTAAAAAGTATACTTAAAAATACACTTATAGTAGAATAAACACAGTAACATAGGCGTTTATTACCATTAACAAGTATTATGTACTATACATCATTGTATATACTATACTTTTATATGACTAGCAGCCCAGCTCAGTAGGTTTGTTTACACCAGCATCACCACACACATGTGAGTAATACATTGCACTATGATGTTAAGACAGCTATGATGTCACTAGGCAACAGGAATTTTTCAGCTGTGTTATAATCTTAAGGGACATCGTGGTATATGTGGTACACTGCTGACTGAAACATCATTAAGCAATTTGTGACCATAAATAAATAATTTAATGTAGTATTAAGTAGGATGTTAATAACTATAAAAAGTAAACACTGCATATTATAGTTAATAAATGAATGCTTTGAGTTATACTCAGTTATAATACTATCTTATTTAGCAAAAATAACCAATACTTAATATGCATAAGACTTAATGAGGAATCAAGCCATATGATCACCTCAACAGATACAAGAAAAAGCATTTGATAAAGTTTAAAACCCAATTATTATAAAAATGCTTAGAAACCTAGAACTAAAAGGGAACTCCTCTAACTTTCTAAAGAAATATATCAAAAAATGTATGTGAAATTTTAGAAATATTCCCATTAAAATCAAGAACAATACAATGGTGACTACTATGTGTATTGGTTTTGTTCAAGAGGTCATAGCCATTGCACTCAGACAAGAAAAAAAGCATAAATATGGCAAAGAAAGAGCAAAATTGTCATCATTTGTAGACAATATGGTCTTCATTTGAGAAAATAGCATTAGAAACTACTAAAACTAAAAACTTATCAATGTTCTTAGCACTTAAAATCAATAGACTTATTTTATACACAATAAGTCATAATTGCATTTAAAGTGCCTCTGACAATAGCAACAAACATTTTAAATACCTGAGAAAAGTTAATAAAAATGTATAAGATCTCCATGGACATTACAGGTTGAATATCTCTTAACCAAAATGCTTGGAACTGTAAGTATTTATAATTTTGGACTTTCAGAAATTAGAATATTTGCATTACACTTACCAGCTGAACATCCACATCTGAAAATCCAAAATGATCTACTGAACATTTCTTTTGAATGTTAAGTCAGCACTCAAAAAGTTTTGCATTTTGGTGCATTTTGGATATGGAATGCTCAACCTGTATTATAAAGCTTTACTTAAAGGATGGTAGATCTCAATAAAAGGAGTGATGTATCATGTCCATCATAGTAAAACTTTTTGGTAAGCTTTTAAACATTTCCCAAGAGATCTCATCCAGACTCTAAGAAAACTGTTCTAGTCTCATGATGATGCATCCAAAACAATGAATAACGGTTTTTAGAAGCTCACATGCTCTATAACCAATTAGTCAGCTGTCTTACAGTATTTGAAAGATTGAATTAAATTATAATGATATAAATTTAAGCTTGATCACTCATTTTTAAAAAATTATTTATCCTACAGTCTCCATTGACCAGATCCTTTTGCCACACACTAAAGAATTCTTAAGGTCAGATATGAAATACAAATAAATAATTCCATACATGAACTTTTCAACTTCCAGGACATGAATTTTCCATTAACTTTTAGGAATGGATAACTAAATTTTTAAAAGTAAATAAATAGATCATATTCAGGATTGCTTCCACTGTTTTTGTTGTACCTAGACCTCTTCCCCATCTTCATCCTCATGTGAACTGTACCATTACTTGGTCACTAACACATCGGTTTGAAGGCAGGCAAGTGTCAGACAAAACCAAATTCAAAAGATCAGTTCTGCCAATTGTTAGAAGTTCTGGAAGAAAGCAGCAATTACTAAGAAAACTGAGCAAGAGGAATTGGAGAAATATATGGGAATTTGTTTTATATAAAACATCTTTGCTCTTTACAATATGGATCAAACATATTTAGATATATTTAATCATGTACTGTGCCAGATACTGCTGGCTGCCTACAGAACAGCCATTCTCCCCTCTTTATTACTAAGAAAAGTCTGCTTGTTCTTTTGGTGTTCTGTGACCAGGTGATTCAAGAGATGAAAGACCAATCTTATTTAGTCTATGCTAATGATGACAATTCCATTCATGATGCCAGCAGTTGATTTAGGAAGAGATAATGTAACAGACAATGAATTGTGAAAGGAAATCTACAAAGGGACCTTCTAAAGGAGATTTCTTTCCTCTTAAAAAACAGCCCTGAGAAAGGGCATTTCCTTCTTTCTGCCTCTGGCTACCTGGAGTTGCAGCAGCCATCTTAAAATCAAGAGAAGACAATTTAAGAGCCAACATATTTAGGATAATTGAGCAGCAGGATGGAATGTCTTTGTTAAGCCAATAATCTCACCCAGAAATGGCTATGTCTCCAGACTACTTACATGAGAAAATAATTATTACCGTTTAGCATTTAAGTCATTTTGAGTTTGATTTTCCTGTTATTTGTGATTTAAACATTTAAACATTCTGTGTCAAGCCCAGTACAGGATAAATGAGTGTTTGTTGCTGAAGCAACTGATAATCATCCTCATGTAAAATCTAAATGTAAACGGTTTATTCTTTTTAAAGGAAGGCACTGCATTTCCTAAGTGTTTTTGATAATATGAGTGACCCAAGTTATGTGATATTTGGAGGTTTGGCTAGAAAATTATTTTCTTTTTGCTTAAGGGATGATATATCCTTTTTAATACTCTATGTTTTTGGTGTTTGTAGCCCTATCACTTCTATCTTTCCCCAGCTCTCAAAAGTGTTTAACAATATCCTTTAGATAAACCCTGGCAGAGTCAACCTTGGTATTGCTTTAGGAAATCAATATGGTTTACAAATAAGATTTTTCTTTCAAAGAAAATAGGATTTTGAATTGCCTTTCCTTAGTATTGTCCAAAATCCTCAATAAGGCCTGACAAGGAGTGTGATGGAGCTCACAATTGTTTTTCCAATTAAGAAAAATGTGATTCCAAAGCTAAGCTTTGCATTTTGGTAAAAGATAAATTAAGTAATACGTGCAAATACAGTCTGAAAACACTTCAAAGCACAGCTTATAAAAACGAACATCAAGGTATATCAATCTATGAGTTCAAGGACTGCCAAAATTAATGATGATTGTTTTTCCTCCTGATTTATAAGAGTTA